GATGTGATTCATTTCAAGATTGGTATGCCACTGAATGCCATCCAAGTGGCCGAAAGATCAACTACCTCGCCATGTAACCTGAATGTCCCGGGTACAATCCCTAATGAGAAGGGTAACAAGTGTGCACTACTGTGGAGTCCTAAATGAGGACGAAACAGTCATCCGACATCCCCTGGTTCTCAGTGGTTCTGTCACTGCAGTAAGCAGATGGTCAATCTTGAAATCAATCAAGTCCCTACAAACCAAAAGCTTGAAATCATTATTGATTTAATTAAATCATCTGTTTATAGAAAGCAAAAATAGCACATACATTTTTCACCGAGTTACCTTTAATCGCCTCGCAGAGAAGTTTCTTCAGATTGCAAAATTCGTGAAGTCCATCTCTGCGACTTTGTTCTGCAATACTAAGGTTTCGTCTAAATTTATTTTGGAACTTTTTCAAATATCATGGTGGTCAATGTAAGGCGTGCAGAATGTTAGCCAATTGGGTTCTACTTTTAGCCACATTTATTCAGGAGTGTAACTAGAAAAATATTCGTCATTTGCAAATATTTTGGTTAGAAGAAGAATTTCTCTACAGTTTGCTTTACAGACCAAAAATATTCGGATCACTCTGTGTGATCCGCTTGATATTATAAGCCGCGACCAAGAAAACAGAAATAAATGCATGAGAGTATTCATAACCGACCGATTCATATGAGTAGTTAGGATCCACTGATGTTAACCCTAAGGGCTTGGTGGCCAGACATATGTGATCTAACAACTTGTGTTGTAGACAGTATGACACCAAGTAGTGGAATTGACCACTGTTTTTATTAAACAAGCTTCAAACATGAAATAAATATGAATAACACCTTTTATTCACTAGATCATTGAATAATTAACACCGTTTCACTGTATCAAATATTTCATAAACGAGTCAACATGAATTCCCCATTGTACTGTACACTGCTGTCAGCCTGACTAATAATTTCATTAGTAAATGCAGAATGAAAAATATTATCATCTCAACCATTCATAAATTAAAGAATCTAAAGGTTTTTAAAAACGTTTTATAATTTACTGAATAAGGCTAAAAGTTAAACAACTTGTATTTTTTGGAAAAAGAATAACATTTCCAACGGTTAACCTCAGAGATTCATTAACAATTACGGAAGGTTCGAAGGCCCAAATGTCAAACAAATCACAGAGGAAAAAAGCCTGTTTTTATTCAACTCGATTTTAAGGGTTAAAATATTGTAGGAATAGACACCAGCCGGAGTCTATCCTGCAGCTAACCTGGTTTCCGTCTATCGGACGACATGCTTTTTGGTGCAATTGATCTTCTCATGTTGACGCTAGCTTTATATACTAATTAACGTGTATCTGTGGAGTCAGATACGTTACGAAAGAAGGGCGCACCTCCAATTTTCTGACATGTACCACCTCAAGGGAGAAAATACTTCCAACAGTGCTATTACCGAGCATCTCCTTGATACTAGTCATGAGGTGGAAATCGCAAATTCCTTCAAAAATATTAATAGGCAAAAGAGCTCAATTCTTCTCAGTGTTTCGAAGCAATCTTTAACAAACGCCTGAAATGCCATTTGTGTGTTCAGAAAGAAGCAGTTATCAGTCTTCCCTTGCCAACCTGGTAACTGGATGTCTTTACTCTCTCTTTCATTTGATAACGTATTCTTTGGCTTTAACCTCACTCCCTCCTTGGATATAGTGCAATTTCCCTTATCTCTTGTTTCTGTAGTTAGTTACTCATATTCCTACTCACCTCCTGTCTCTATTAAGTAACTCCTTTACCATTGCATGTATACAGTGATTTTGTTTAAACTTGAACCCCCTAGGTAAAATTTATATAAGTGTAATTTTCTGATCACTGTTCATTAAGTTTGGAACCTCCTGTCAAGTGACATCATGTAAAATTTGCAAGTATGTTAAAACTGTTCTGTGAACTAAATTAATAATGATTTACTAAAGTTGTACGCAGCTGATAAGAAGCCGACGAAATAAGAGGTGGTACCATAGTATTCTGCACAAAGTGTTATTCTTGCTTTATTCAAAATCCTACTGGACATTTGCTCACGTCGGCAGCTCACTAATGGAACAATCGCCAACCAGACATATGGTTCGGGGTTCAATTCCCAACTGGCGCGCCCCTAAACCCTGCTTAACCGTCAGTAATCTGGGTAAAAGGTAAGGTTGGATGAGATGCTAGCAACCTCACCTCGTAAAAAGTAAATACCATTGCTAATGAAAATTCAAAGCCAGAGAGAGCTTGAAGCTCATCGTTCCATTCGGAAAGCAAAGGAATAAAATGAAATGGAATAACTGGATAGTTGCTTAAACCAAATCAAAAGAGATGAAAGTAAAAGTCTTATAATAAACAGTGACTCGTAGGAATGACTTAACAATGAATAACTCACAAATGCTTCAAAATGAGGGCCTATATATACATGCCTATATTAGTGTTGTATTGACAAATTCAATTTATATGAGTCCTTGTTCAACAAACGTTTGTTTATACACTTTTACGTATAATTCTATGGATCCACACAGACAGAAATGTTAGACTTCAGGTGTATTTCAGCATTTTCCTCGCTGAATTTGTCTTTTATTTTCCTCATGACTCAATGGGTATTTTCGGTGATATTTTTAGGACTTTAACATCCATAAACGTGTTTTCAGCGGTGCCAATCCATCTTGCGGTCTGCAGATCGATTGATTAGACTTCGCATCATTAAATGTGTCAACCATTTAACTGTGAGACAACAGATATTCTTCATATTGGTCTGCTTCTGAATAATTTGTCTTTAAATACTTTTCTGGATATGTAGCTAATTCATGATGATTTTATTGTTAATCTGTTCAGACTATAAAGAATGAACCAGTGATAAAAAGAAGTATTTATGGTTTTTATCAACAAAGGAAATGTTAAGGATCTCAGATAATCCAAATTCTCGCTATCATATTTCCAAGCTTCAAGTACATACATATATATAGTGACGCGTTCTAGGTGAACGACCGAAGGGTTGGTTTAGAGGTGAAAAAATATCCATACAGTCAGGATTTCCAATGCTCACTTGAATATACAAATGGTCATTGCATAAACTGAACATATAGCAGAAGGGAAACTTACTCAGCTAAGTCTAGGAATTCCTAAGTGTTTTATTTCTAATTAAGAACACACAAGTCGACAAAGAGACCATGTTTTTCTTAACTTCTCATTAAAGCTGTACAGTTATTTTGGGGGCTTATATATACAGCGTTAATTGACAAAACAGATAAGAGGCTATTATCGATTAGTATGAAAGACAAATTAAAATATATTACGAGTAGCAATATGTAACAAACATTGAATAATCTTGCATAATGAAGAAAGTGTACAACTAATTAGTTAAGTGATAAATAGTTACATGAAGATAATTCAAAGGAGACAAGACCATAAAGAATTAGGAGTCAGTTAAAAAAAAACAAAATGCACAGTTTGTTATACAACAAATCAAGAAAATGAAACTGATACGAAGGTTATGTTTGTAAAATAAGGCCAGATATTTTTGATTATCAGACAAATGCAGAAGACTACTGTTTTTTTATTTTCTCTCATTTTTAATGTCAGTTAACTATTTACGCATAGGTATTTTGTGTTGTTTCTGTGTTTGAAGTTTCTGTAGCGGTTGAATTGATTTTCTGGGGTAGGGTCATTAGCCTCATGCCTAACATTTCATCTTTTTCCGGACATAGGTCAGGTTAGACAACTAGTGAAATATTAAATTACTCGGGGCTAAAACAAGACTATAGAAAACATAGCCAGTGGAGATGTACTACTTAAGTCACATATTTCACTTGGAAAGCATCACAATAATAACATTATTATTCCCTTGGCTTCCCGGTGTAACATAGGGCTTCAATAGTACACCCCACATTGGCCTATCTTCTGCAGTTCTCTTTAGGCAGCTCCATAATTGCCCTTAGTCTATCATCTCTGCTTGACAAGATCTCCTCCATGTCACCTTTCGATGACCAATTCGTCGTTTTCCGTTTAGGTTCCACTCGATCTACGGCCTGACGCGTGATGTCACCCAAAGTCTTCTCAGCATGTGCCTGAACCATCTCCATTTTCTTCGACATATTTGTTGAGCAATATGTTCTCGATTGCTTAATCCCCAGAGTTTCGTGTTGCTAAAACGTCCTCTCTATCTAACCTTCAGTATAGACAGAAGACAGCTATTTATAAATGCTCGAAGCTTGTTTGAATGGCTTAGTTTACTAGAAAAAGACAGACAGTTGGACGTAAGACTAACGACCCTATCACGGAAAATCAATCCAATCGCTAAAAAAGCTTCTACTCGCGGAAAAATAATAGTAAATCTAAGGCTACTTTGACTGGACACTAGTAATTAGTATAACGTGTCTGACTGAATTCTATCAGTCAGGTTTCTAATGTGGCCACCATTCTAGGTAGCTCACCATCATGGTGCATATTGATTTAATGATATTAGATGGTTGAAGGCAATCAGCATGAAGCCCCGCCTGGCCCAGGTTTCGTGCTACTTGGCACTCGTCAGCAAGGCGTATCTGCAACCGAATTGAGGGAACTCATGTCATTCCTGGGATTCAAACCCTCATCACCCAGTGAGTACTGTAGTCAGAAACGTTACCACTGAGCTATTCGTACTCACGATTGACCTCCTGTATAACTGTAGTGGATTCTTTGATTGGACATTAGTAACTAGTGTAATGTGTCTAGTCTACGTTGTCTAGAAACGCCTTGCTGATTGGTGAGTGCCAACTAGCAAGAAAACTAGGTCCAAGGCTTCCAACAGATTGCCTACAACCATCAAATATCATCAGATTCAAGCTAAGTACTAATTACTTTTTAAATGATATTTCATCTGATCAGACTACTTAAACCTGTCTAACTGTCCACTGTTCACTTTTTTCTTCTTCTCTTTCTTTCCACAAACGCCCCCCCCCCCCAACACACACACACACTTCTTATAAACCAGAAACTGGACTACTTATAGCCAACGCAAGAATAGTTGATCATCCAATAATTTATGTGAATGAAAGTTTTACAAAAATGACAAATTATACAAGTCGTGAAATGATGCATCAAAATGCTATCTGTCGTCAACTCCACGGTAAACGAACATCAATTAATTCCATAGAACGATTACAGAATGCACTAGATAATGGATATTTCGATCAAGTTGAAATAACTTTATACAAAAAAAATCGTAAGTGTATGATTAATTGATTGTATTACTATGATTATTATTAGTAGTAGTAGTATTACTATTATTATTTTTCACATAACAATTATTATAATTAGCTGTCATTACTTTTAGTCTTCATCACTCTTATATGATTCGGTTGATAATAATGAATTAATCATTCCAGTATATATGCTTATTCGTAACGTTTAATATATTAAAAAAATATATAGCTGTCTATAAGTTGTCAGTTCCTCCATTCAGTCTGTTGAAAGAGATAAGGTAAATTTTAACAGTAATTTACTAGTTTTAAAACCTAAAACAATATGCTATTTCTTGTGTGTTTAAGTTAATTGATATTTTCACTGCTGAGTGAATTTTTGCAACTGAAATATTCGATCTCTGGTAATACGTTAGCTACTAGTGTAACGGGCATAATGCGATAACATTTGGTAGCAGAATTATTTATTTAGCAAAATGATACACAGGGGATAATAAATTACAGAAACGTAGTGATAAAAACTTTTCTATTTGCTCGAGCTTTTCAATATTCTGTGAAACTATATACTATTGACTGGATGAAATAAGTAGTCACCAGCCAGATCAGAGTGAGTTAACTTCTGTTTTCGACTGACTTGACCCTCTGAGACGAGTTAAATAGAATGAGCTCGTCCTTAAACAGGAGAAAAGGCTGTCCGACGTTTAGGTCACTTCAATCTAGTTAACAAACACTACTGGTAGGTGTCAGTGGCATACAACTACTCATTTCATCCTATCAGTAGTATGTAGTAGTATTATGCAATTATGCTTGCTTTCTTAATCACTAATTATAGTATAAATAAGATTACATATTGTGACCTGAATAATCTTGGTCTCAAAATGGAAACAATGGTGAAATAATCCCCTCGATTTGTGTAAATTTGTGAATTTGACTCTTCAAATTGTTTCTTTTGTCTTCCATCCACATTCTTTGTATTGTTTCATTTCTTCTCTTCATAAGTTAATTGGTCAGTTGGCGACTCGAAATTCCTGCAACAGATATCACGCCCTATCTAATACTTGGAAAGTCTTGTCAGTAGCATACGTCACACTGGTACGAACGCTTTGGTAATATCTAAAGATTGATATTACGTCATTTGAACTAAGGCATTTAGAAGACAAATTTCGCTAGATGATATCATTTCGTAGTTTCTCTACAATCGATTTACAAATAACATGGTCAACAATAATTAAATGAAGTGCATGACAATTACTCAGTTAAAGTACATACTAATGACCAATCATATTTAAATAGGTTATGTAGTCCATGGTAGGCGAAGATTGAAGTCTATTGTTTTTCGTGCACACAGTTTAGGCTGTATATGATTAATCCAAAATGCTTCTATCACCTTCAATAACCTTGAATTAGAGTTATGTGAAATAATTGTGAAACAGTCATTAATATTGATTTTGTAACCAGACATTAATAAGTGTTTTGCAATGGATGATGCTGGATTTCTAGTCAGATTAATCGCATCGGGATTTTCTATATGATTTAGCAACCATTTTGGAACATTTTCTTTTCGATGACGCTGGAATATTCTATTGGTTCGACCTATATAAGTGTCACCGCAACTACAGGTGATCTTGTAGATACGGTTTGAAATACAGTTCACAGAATTTCGTCCTTTAATCTTAGGTACAAGGATCGAAAATGTTCAGCAAATGAGAAAACGAGATGCGGTGTAGAATGTGCGTTTGATGGCTGATCGAAGTCTTTGAGCTGTCAACTGCATAATCTGGTCACCCCTGAATGGTGGGTTAGTAAAGATAGCTTCCTTTGGTACAGAAGCTGTCTTTTCGAGATGTGGTCTTTCTTCACTGTGACAAGTGATAAAGTTTTCCAAATAACCATTAGCTAATAAAACTGAATGTATATGTCGAAACTCATCCATCACTGTGTCTCTCGTGCATCGTTTTCGGGCCCTTGAAAACAAACATTTCACTAGGGAACGAATGTACTGGATAGAAACAAAACTGGTAAAATGAAGATATTGTCCACTCTATGTCTGTTTAGGAAAAATGGATCGCTGAATCGTTCCATCATCTCTCCTAGTCATTGTAATATCCAGGAAACCGAGTTTGTTATTCGATTCGAGTTCGGAAGCCACTCGGATATTTGGATGAATATGATTAAATAGGGTAATAAAGTTTTCAATAAATTTTATTACCAATAATGGGAGTATCATCTACATAACGTTTATATAGCATAAACTCTCCAAGCATACCTTGCATTTGTTTTTCCAATTTCGACATGAATATATATATATATATATATGTATATATATATTTGTCTGATGGTGTCTACCAGTGGATTTCACAACACGAGTTTGGTCCTCCAGTACTTCAGAATTTATGGATGATAAGTGAAGTGACTGTAGCTACAGAACGCTAGCTGACTAATGAACCACGTGATCCGCTAGAAGCAACTCAGCCAAAAGTTTGAATCAACTATCTATCGTTCAATGCACCCTCTATCCAGCCATGTTGTGATCTAAATCAAACCGGTGTTTACTAATAACTGTTTGTATCATAACTTTTACAGAAAGACTTTCACTCTCCCCACTGAAAGATAACAGAAGCATCACTTCGAAAATCTAAAGATCTCGTTCTAAACATTTTCAAAACTTAAGGATTTACACCTTAGTGTTTGAAAAGATACAACAGAAAATGAAGCGGTTATGCCAGACAGATTCAATTCCTTTTCACAAGAAGATACATTTCTTTTATAGAATGTTACTTACCCATATCCAAACTAAAGATGAATACTTGATGAAATCACTGTGGTGCTTTGATATCATTATTATTATTTGAATTACAAAGCTCTTCAGGTTGTTGTTGCACTGGAGCATGATTTTTTCAGTCACTTCATTTCACTCTTAAATAATTAACCCATATTACGGAAGCATGGTCATGCTCAGATGGAGTTGTCGAAAAGTTAAGTTAATAATGCATTAGCTACCGATGCTTGATAGTGTTTCTCTAACTTGTGTGCTACCTGAACAGCCCAATAAAGGTGAACCTTGAATAAGCAAAAAATTATTTAAAAGCAATCAGAACAATAAACTAAACAGAATGATACTGTATCATTTTATATCGTCCGGTCTTATCAAGTGAAACGCATAATTTAATTATTGAACACACAGATGGGGGCCACCAATATTAGGTAATTAATTAGTAGGGCAGAAAGCATAAAAAGTGTTATTAATTTCCTTAGGATACATAGGAGTAATTACAAGAATATTATAGAGTTAGCAAAAGTAGTTGATAACTGATTACGTGACATATTGTTATCATTAATATTCTCTTGGGTTTTGAGCGGAAAATACGGCCTAAGCAATACATCTCCTTTTTGTTTCATTTTCTGCTGTCCTCTTCAGCTGGGTCCACGATTGACCATCATCTCTAAGTTCCTCCTCGCCGAACGATCTCTACCAGCCCACCCTCACACCAACGACCCACTCGCCCCCCCCCCAATAGGATTCGACTCCAGCAATAGCCTGTACTGCGCGCGATTTCATTCGACGGCCTCCTCAACATATGTCTGATCCATACTTATTTTCTTCGTTACATTTACTGAGCAATCGGTTCTTGGTTAGTTTGTTCTGTCCGGCCTACTGTTTGATCTTCAATATGGAGCCAGTGAAGGTATCTGTTGATAAAAGTCCATAACCGGTTGGGAAACACTTTTCGTGATGCGCCAAATTTCTGATCCTTATAGAAGAACTGACTGACCTCACGTTTTTGTTGAATCTGAATCTTGTTCTTTATGCTTTGGAGTGCAGAAGATTTCCAAACTCATCTCAGATTGATGAAGGCATATCTTGCCTTTCCAATTTTGGCTTTAACACCTTTGGTTAAAAGCGTGCTTCCTAGATAAGTTAAGGAAGTAACCTCTATCAAATATCTCTCTTTGATGGTGATTGGTGCTGGTTGTTGTTGCTGTTGTTTGGATGGTTATCTTTATCACCTTCATCTTCTCTGTGTTCACCTGGAATCCTGTCTTCGCTGCCAGCCTATTCAACCAGTTTATTGGTTTTCGTCTGAAAGTGTTCTAGTCTGTGTGATGCTAAACATAAGTAATCGATTACGCAACAAATGTGAATATTAATCATAGTAACTGAGTACATAAATAAGTGGAGCGACAGAATACAGCAATACATTTGCTAAATGATACTCAGTTAGGGATAAAATACAGAAATTTTACATTGAAATTTCTATTTGAGTAAATTCTTCGTACTCTGCTTCTTTTGTCTTCATTTCATGCTTTCTATACTGTTTTCATAATAGAGTAAATCTGTTTGCTAAAGTCTCACAGTGTTATGCTCATGACGTTTCGAGCACAATTTATTGCGGCTTATAATCACATCAAGGTACTCACAGAACTTTACAACACAGTAAGACTTTAACAAGATAAATTTATTGGAAACATTCATCTGCCCGATACGAATTTAAAACAAGTGACAAAGGTTAATAAAGCATGATTTAATGAATATATGTGTAAAACGTGGGCACTGTAGTAGTAAGTAATTCCATATTAGTTTGTTTATTAGATGTATTACACAGTGAAACAGTATTATTTACTGGATGACGTTTGGAGCACAACTTATTGTTAATAATCATATCAATCACAATCACACGACTTCGAAACTCGAGTTTTAAAGTTTTCTTTGTTCTCTCCTATTTGTCGTAGGGATAGTAGGATTTTCCAGATATCTGGGACAGGTGTTGAATCATTCCTATTACATGTATTTGTAGCTGATTCGATAAATAAAGTTTCTGTTATCAATCTCTCCCTCCACCCTGTGATATTAGATTTTAAGACTATCATGTTATCCCATCATCCTGTTGTATGGTTGTGTGTGATTGCATGTAGTGCTATAGTTGAACTATTCTCTAGATTTCTTATCTTATTTGGGTCAACTAATCTAGATTTAGCTAGGCTTTTATGTTCGGTTAATCTGACTGCACCTGTTCTACTAGTT